AATTCTGAAAATATATTTCAAATGAAACCATTTGCAAAAGTTAAAAGATATGAACATATATGTTGTTAGTAAATATATTGAGATACAAATATATCCACACATTTAACTAAAATATATTAAAAATAAAATAAAAATATATTTACATATATTTAACAAAAATATATTTATTGGGCCAATTTCAAATATTTGCATATACCAATAATATATCCTGAAAATATATTTCAAATAAATTTCTTTTGTGTATGGGCTTTAACACATGTCAACTAACTCTCATGAGATTATTAATAGAGTATTAGTAGACTGGTAAGATTAGAATAAATTAATATAGTTGCAAAGTTACTTATAGTCAGCAGAAAGTCTGTTCGACGACCATCACAAAAAGAAAAGAGTTAAAAAACTTTTGCTGATAATTTACTCCAAGATGTCCATGTCTTTCTTTCTTCAGTCGAAAATAAATTAAGGTTTTTGATGAAAACATTCCAGGATTTTCTCCATATAACGGACTTCAATGGGAACCAAACGGTTCAAGGTCCAAATGAGAGTTTCAGAGCAGCTTCAAAGGGCATTAAACGGCACCAGACGATGAATAAGGGTCTTATCTAGCGAAACGATCGGTCATTTCAAAAATAAATAAAACAGTTTAAGTTTTATAAGCACAAATGCTCGCCTTGCTCTGTTCAGTCTGTTTGTGACTCTCCTGTTCAAACCCGTTCATCAAAATGAACATCTTTTTTCGAGTCATTTGGTTCATTCAATGAACGAAATGAACGAAAAGACTCGAAAAAAGATTTGTCTGGTGTCGTGCCCTTTGAAGCTGCACTGAAACGGTCATTTGGACCTTGAACTGTTTGGTGCCCATGAAGTCCATTATATATGGAGGAAAATCCTGGAATGTTTTCATCAAAAACCGTAATATCTTTTCGACTGAATAAAGAAAGACGTGGACATCTTGGATGACTTGGGGTGAGTAAATTATCAGCATTTCTTATTTCTTTTTCTTTTGTTTTTTTTTTTAAAGTGAACTACTCCTTTAAGCAGACAGTCTACTATTACTCTAATGACAGTTAGTTGACATAGTTGCAGAGTTACTTATAGTCAACAGCATGTTCAAAAGAGACCATCAAAATAGAGTGTTACCAAAATTGAATAAATAAAAAAAACAGTATCCTTTAAAAAGAGAAAACTCATGAAATAGATACAGTATGAGAACACATTTTAACTCCCATGGTTAAAAGCGATTACAGTATTTGTTAATATATCAGTTATTCATTACTTCATTGCAAGCATACATGGTTAGTCTATATGGCTGTACACAACTCCCAGATTCCCCACTCAGGGATTATGACATCCATAAGAAGCAGATACAAACTATTCAAGTCATTGAGCAAGGCTTTCTCAAAATCTTTGCGGTTTAATATGGGAGACCATAATCCATGTTAGAATAGCTCATAAACCAACCTCTGAAACTGGCCGGCCTGTTGATATGCAGGGGTTTTGCTCGTATACTCTGCCAGAGCTCTCGCAGAACGTCATCTTCACGTTATTTAACCGGTCTGCTGACACAGCACTTCCCATTAAGAGCCCTAACAGATGGACTGAGTCAATGGCTGGATAATAATTCAAAACTCATATTAAAAAAGCACAGAGCGTTCAGGTTACTGAACGGACATGTGTAGAGAAAATGTAAACGCATAGTTTAGAGAAGAATGTGTGACTTGCATGAATCAAAAGACAAATGTGCAGCAATGATGTTGCTTATGATGCTAATGGGAAGTGTGGGAATTACACAAGAGCTTTCAAGGATGTTGACTTTAGAAATAGAAAATTTAGGGCTAGGGTTTAGGGATTTTACTTCCCCATACAAGTCCTTAAAACTGTTATTCACCGTAAAGTGATAAATCTCATGTCAATTTTTAAATATTTAACATTTTGGCAAAATGGCGGCGCATTTCTATGAATTTGTGATCTAATTCAAACGTTTTTTTCTTACAATGTGGTCTAATGATGGTTGTTTAAAGGGTTGGGGTTAGGAGTGGACATTTTAATGCTGTTTTTTTTCGAAATATCATACGTTTTCACATAATTCACATAGTATGAATTTATATAAAATCACAACCTCGTAAAACAAGGTTGCATTAGTCAAAGAGCAAAAGTTCAAAGAAAAACAATGGGTAAAATATAAATAAATGATAAGCTAAGATTGTCTGGATATTGTTTTGACATCCACTATACATAGCTAAGAACAAGTATATAAAAAAAACAATGTAGAAAAATAAATGTGTGCAGAACAGTGATGGAGTTTGCAGAGTTAAACCGGCATGTTTCGGCTTTGTTTTGTTATTTATTCGAAACGCTTGATGGTGCAAACGTCGCCGTCACAAATCAGCCTCTCTGGAGCCAAAAGTCAAATCAGGTAGAGGCAAAGCTCTACAGAAAGGCTTATTAAAGCAACATTTGAGGTAATTAAGGCACATGCGGGACCCCACAGGGCCTCTAAGCAAATCACAGCCAGAGGACCCAATTGAAAACACATGCTGCCTCTCTTAGAGTACGTTGACTTCACTTTAGTCCCACTCAAGGATTTTTTACATTTGATTTGTTTCTAATGCAACTTCCAAAGCGTTTGTATTGTTTTGTTTCTTTATTCTTCCCCTTCAGTGTTCAAAGAACCTCTGAACAACAGTCTGTTCTGGGATTTGCATAACTGACTTAAACAAACAAAGATGTATCATCCTTGGAGAGACGATTTTCTGCAACCGACTGATTTCAATTCACACATCCAGGATGCGTCTTGGCACCACAGATTTCCAAAAACAACCCCTCACAGAGTGGGGCATGTGTCTCTAAGGGAGAGAAAATATCTGGAATTCAATAGCAAATTTGTATTAATAAACTGTGTTACAGCTTTGAAGTGTACAACATTGTGCAAGTGATGAAATATCTCAAAAGAAGGATCATATTTAAGATATTGTTTTGTTTTCAGATGGTTTTATATTGTATGTGAAATAAAAGGCATTTTTACACAGCTGAAATACGGCCCCCATGTATCAAAGTAGAAATCACTTCGCATTTATTCGACCCGTGAGTCAGTCATGTATAGAGTGACACAGGTATGATGTCAGAACCCAGAAGTCTAATTTTCCACTGGTTCCTCAGATATTTTCCAATAGGGTTTCATAATGGGGTTCTTCGATTTATAAACATAACTTGATGATACTTACAATGTACACTAATCTAGTTACTTATTAAAAAAATGTATGTTTTCAAAAATTTGTGGTTTTGCTATGGGTGTGTGGAATTTATATTGTTGAAAAAATGTCAAAGTTACCACAGACTTTATTTTAGACATAAATCAAAAACCCATAGGAAAATCTTGAAGGAACCAGCAGCGAATTAGACTTCCCAGTTCTGATGATATACCTACATCACTCCATATGACTAAACAGTTAGTCTGAGCAGTACTAAACACTAATTTGTCACTTCAGAAGTGTGTCACTTCAGTCTGTGCTACCTTTGCAGTGTACATTTGCCATCCAAAACAGCATGTACAAATATATCTTAGGCCAGAAACATCTGTACAAGTACATATAAGCATTGTCCCGTTGTACATACATATAAAGTCAACAGGAAACCACTTCCACAACCTATTTGACTTCCCTAATCTGATGGAATTTTTGAGTGAAAAAAAATAAATAAAAATAAGGTCAGATGTGATTTTGCTGTAGTTAGTTGTGGCAAAGACAAGGTCATGGGTTTCATTCCCAGGGAATACTGGTTATGTAAACCTTGAATATTCCATATGCATTGATGTAATGGTTTTCATCCATCAGGTATTGTTTGAATTGTAAAAAAAAAAAGCAGGTTTCCATACTAGAATGGAGCTGGGTGGTTAAAAAGAAGAGACATAAAAATAGAAGGACAGAAAAAGAAAGTGGTTTCAGATGTGCTCGTAAAACATGACCATTCCGGTCATGTCAGTTTAACTTTAACTCACTTAAACTGTTTAAGTTAGTTGACCTGGGGTGCGTTTCCAGTACAACAACGTAACTTAATGCTTCACTACCATAGTACAATGCATCGTTGAAGAAATCAACTAGCTAGTCACGACTGTTTCCCGAAACCATATTTTCGCAAAGTGGTTGTTCAAACACGTTGGTTTATGACATCACGCATGTGGTGGAGTAATAACTTATTTTAATGAAACTGTTTGAGATCGAATCAATGCTAGATGTTTTGATATAGATTACAAACATGGCATCTGAGGAATATTTCAAATTTTTCTCAGTTATTTCGCTTAATTTCCAGATTCAATCATAGGCTCATTCTTACATAGTAGAGCACGTTCGCACATGCGCAGTCTTCAAAAACGGTGCTTTAAATCTCTTGACAAAAGCAAAAACGTGAATTACCAACACTATCTCACGACCAATTCGTACGAATTCGACGCATGATTAAAAAGTGTCTAATTGGTACGATTTGTCTAAACCCACGTGATGGTTAGGTTTAGGGGCGGTGTTATGAACGCCTTGAGCGGTTGGAGGTTCCCATTGACAGAGGAAACAGTTGGTCAGGGTTAACAGTGCTTTTATTGCAGTGCAGGGTGACAGTCACTCAGAATTTGTGGGAAAAACAGAAAAACAAAACAAAAACTTAGAGGCAACCAAATATAAGACTGCACAACATAAGGCCAAGCAAAAGAGCATAACCTGACCTGTGCAAAAACACTACATAAGTAGTATTTTCCCAGAGTTACAAACTCACGAGCAGTCCATGGTCTGTCTAGACCTCTCCTTCACCTCCTATCTCTGACTGCCCTAATAACTTTCTGGAGTCATTTTATAGCCCTGACTCCTCCTACTCTGGAACATACCACCTTAAAGGTAACACATTTCATACACTTACAGGAATGCATAATAATAATAATAATAATAATGAAGAAAACAAAAACAATAACAAAAGTAATAAATACAAATAAACATATATGTAATAAATCATATATATATATTCAAAGAAAACCCATAACTTAAAAACTATGAGAATAAACTCTCCGGTGACGTCACTCACATGAACGCGCCACTAGCTGGCGCGGACACAAGACCTATAAATAGACCGGATGTTCAACCGAACAGATTTGGCCAACGACTCATCACAACATGGTAAGCATCTTCTATATCTCTTCCACTTTAATCAATAAAATATGTTAATCAAATACTCGTGGTGGTGATTCATTCCCGCATGAGAAAAACACTTCTATTCACTCGTATACGATTACTAGTGGTCATTACTCAGATAAAACTACACACAGACCATCATACAAGTTTACAACACAATGATATCAAATGTCACACAGGTCAATGCATACATAAATATATGTCGGCTAACAGACTGTAATACATGACGCCGGTGTATGCGCGTAACGTGCATGTGTATGTGTGTGTGTCCATGCACAGTCGCAGGCTTACCCTGTGACATTTCCTCCCCCTTCCCCAGACACCACTCGTGGTGTCCTGGAGAGGAAATCTGCGGTGCAGTTTTCCGAGCCAGTCCGATAGACAACCTCAAAGTCGAATGGCTGCAGAGCCAGGAACCACCGTGTTATACGAGCATTCGTGTCTTTCATTCGGCCCAGCCAAACCAGTGCCCGATGATCAGTTTCTAATTTAAACCTCCTACCCATTAGGTAGTACCTGAAAGAGTCCAAGGCCCATTTGACCGCCAGGCATTCCTTCTCTACGGTTGAATACCGTGTCTCTCGTGGAAGGAGTTTCCTGCTGATAAAAGCAATGGGTCTTAAGTGTCCTTGCTCTCCCTGCAAAAGTACAGCCCCAAGGCCAAATTGTGAAGCATCAGTCTGCACTGTAAAAACTTGGTCAAACTCCGGACTCTGCAACACTGACTCTTCACATAAAGCATCTTTCAAGTACATAAAAGCACGCTCACAGTCTGCAGTCCAATTAGGCTTGTTGGGTTTGTTCTTCCTTGTGAGCTCAGTAAGGGCTAAGGCTTTTTCAGAAAAGTTCGGGATAAAGCGTCTATACCACCCCACCAGGCCAAGGAACGACCTTACTTGCTTCTTGGTTACAGGCCGCTCAGCCTGTTTAATGGCCTCCACCTTCCCAACCTGAGGGCGTATGACTCCATGCCCCAGCACATGACCAAGATAACAGGTCTCTGCCTTAGCTATTGTGCACTTGTCTGAGCGAATAGTAAGACCAGCATTTTTTATTCGAGTTAACACCTCCTTGAGATGTATCAGATGACCCTGCCATGTCCTACTGAAGATAATGATGTCATCCAAATATGCCGCTGCGTATTTCTCAGTTCCAGTAAGGATCTGATCGATCATCCTCTGAAAAGTCGCAGGAGCCCCATGTAGTCCGAAAGGAAGCACGCGGAATTGATAGTGCCCAAATGGAGTCTTGAACGCTGTAAACTCTTTACTGTCTGGACTTAAGGGCACTTGCCAATAACCTTTGCACAGATCAAGAGTTGTGAGGTATTGTGCACTGCCAAGCTTTTCAATTAAATCATTGACTCTGGGCATAGGGTAAGGATCAAATTTGCTCACCGAATTGAGTTTTCTAAAGTCCAAACAGAACCTTAGGGACCCATCTTTTTTTGGCACCAGCACAATGGGGTTGTTCCACTCGCTTACTGATGGTTCTATGACCTCTAGTTTCTGCATAACTTCCAACTCTTGCTTCATGATAGGCACCAGCCTTTCTGGAACTCTGTACACTGGTTGTCGAATCGGTTTCACATCCTTCAAATAAATGTGATGTTGTACCAGATCTGTCTTCCCAGGTGTGTCCTGGAACAGCTGCTCAGGTATACAATTTTGCAACTGACTTCTTTGTTCCACTGTCAAATGCTGAAGATTTAAAGGGTACTCACTTCCACCAACAGGCAAGAACTGCTCCTCTACTTCGTCCTCTTCCTGTACTGCCCTTACCAAGAGGTCCTTCACCTCTGCTCTTACTGGTTCTGGCTGTGCAGGCGGACTGTGCCACTTTTTCAACATATTAACGTGAAAAGTCTGCAAAGGTTTATTTCTGGATGGCATTTCTATTTCATACGTTACTGGACCAACTTTCTTCCTCACTTGATATGGGCCTTGCCATTTGGCCAACAGTCGGTTCTCTGACGTTGGAAGTAACAACAACACTTGCTCTCCTGCTTGGAAAGTTCGGGACCTGGCCTTCTGGTCATACCATATCTTCTGTTTCACTTGTGACTCCTGCACACTCTCCCGTGCCTGGGTGGATGCCAGTTGCAACTTCTCTCTCATTTTGAGGATGTACGAAAGAATGTTCTGCTTGGTGGGCTTGTCATTGGCTTCCCAACTGTCTCTCAAAACGTCCAGTGGACCCCGAATCTGGTGAGCAAACAGTAATTCAAAAGGAGAAAACCCGGTGGATGCTTGAGGAACTTCACGGTAAGCAAACAAAAGGTAAGGCAGCCATTTGTCCCAGTCTTTTCCATTCTCAGACACAAACTTCTTCAACATTCCTTTTAAGGTCTGATTAAATCTTTCTACCAGACCATCAGTCTGGGGGTGATATGGAGTAGTCCGAACTCTCTTAATGCCCAGTAACTGATAGACTTGTTTTAGGGTACGACTCATGAAATTGGGGCCTTGGTCAGTCAAAACTACTTTAGGAATGCCTACATGTGAGAAGAAGTTTAACAGTGCAGCTGCAATCTGTTTTGCAGTAACGTCTCTTAAAGGGTAGGCCTCGGGGTATCTGGTTGCATAATCACAAACCACCAAGATAAAACGGTTCCCTTTCTGACTTCTCTCCACCGGTCCAACAATGTCCACCCCTATCCTCTCAAAAGGTGTATCTACTGCAGGTATCGGAACAAGAGGTGCCTTTGCAGGTGCCCTACCAACTGCTAACTGACACTCAGGACAGGTTTTGCAGTATTCTTTCACCTCAGTATACATACCGGGCCAATAAAAACGTTTAGAAACTCTCCTCAATGTCTTCCTGAATCCCATATGACCTGACCAAGGAATTGAATGGCTGAGCTCTAACACCTTTCTGCGCTGAGATTTGGGTACCACTAACTGCAAACCTTCCTTTTCACTCTGTCTGTAAAGAAGACCTTGTTCCACCATAAATGTCTCACCATACAATGAACTCACAGTTGCATCTTTGCTAACTTTCCTAAAACATTCAGACAAAGTAGCATCCTCTTTCTGAAGCTGTCCTAATTCACTGGGTATGACAAACTCTGACTCAGCAATCTCTGGTTCTTCCCACTCAAACTTTGTCTGTTGTGAGCTATCCATCAAATCTGCCACTTTTTTCCTGCGTTTGTCCAATCTATCTTCCTCAGACAACCCTTCTTCAGCTAGACTTTCTTCCAGAAAAAATGGCATATCCTGCAGAGTGCCATCTATCGAATCTTCAGTTTGTGCTATCCGGGTATGCTTTTTCGCCTGCGCTCTAGTAACTATCCCACACCAAGCTGTCTCCTGCACTAAGTCTGCTAATATGGGCATATCAGTTCCTAGCAACACGGGATAGGGCAGGTTTGTGGTAACACCTACATTCATCAAAAATGACTGCTTGTTAACCTCCAAATACACCTCAGCAGTAGGTAATTCTGACTTATCTCCATGTACACAACAAACCGTTACGGTTTCCTCAGTCCATGACTCTCTAGCTATATATTGTGACTGTACTAACGTACGTGTACATCCTGTATCTACCAACGCCGTCAGCAACTTACCATTTAATAACACTGAAATAGTGGGCTCCTTATCTGGCTTCAACACTATCTTAGGGCTAGACTGGGGCACATAACACAAACTGGCAGCTTTGGGTTTCTCACCGGGCAATGTGGGCTAGTATGTCCTACCTCTCCACAATTATAACATACTATATCGCTTCTAGGCATCTGCTGTGTGACTACCGGCAGTGAAGGCTTTGGATCAGTGACTTTAAAACTTTGGGCTTTAGTTTGAGAGAACGAACTACCCCCTGACCCCACAGACTTACCTCTTGCCTCCGAGAAGACACCAGAGTACCGGAAGGTCCCAGAAGATCCCTTTCGCGCTGCTATATAGGATTCTACCAGGTCAGCTGCTTCTCCTGCGGTACTGGGATTTCTCTCCTTCACCCAGATCCTCACCTCCGGATACAGCACTCTCATATACTGCTCCAATACCAAGGTCTCCATTATCTCGGTTTTACTGCTCATGTCCAACTTGACCCACTTTGAGAACAAGTCTTTTAAGCGAATGTACAATTCTGTTGGGGACTCCTCACTGTCGGTGCTCAATGAACGAAATCTCAGTCTATATGTTTCTGGATTAATCTCATATTTCTTGAGAATCACCTCTTTGACTTTGTCATAGTCAGAGGTAAAGGCAGGTGCCATGGCGACAAAAGCACTTCTCGCTTTTCCAGTGAGCAAGGGAATCAGATGAATCGCCCAGTCTTCTCTTGGCCACCTGTATACTTCTGCCAATCTCTCAAAGGTGGTCAGAAAATGTTCCACATCATCACTGTCTTGTAGTTTTGGCAATGGAGGCACATGATTCTGCACTCGTAAACCTGCCTGGTCTAAATGGGCAACTTTATGCCTGGCATGCTCCACGTCCATCTGCATCTGTGTGACCTGATGATTGAGGACCTTGTACTGCTGCTCACGTCGTACCGACTCTTTCTCTTGCCTCTCATCCCGGTCCTTCTGGTACTCCAGAAAGGCTTGAAACATCCCTGCCAGGGCTGTCACAGCCCTATCTCCTGCGGTGGTTGGGACCTCAACAGCTTGGACACCTTCCTCTGGAACGCCACCCACTGCACCTTGATCTCCTTCCACTTCCACATCTGCAGTCACCTGACCCCTGGTTTTCGGTGGCATTTTAAGTTACAGTCACTTTAGCCGCTGTTAAACACCAACTGTTATGAAGCTTCACTTCTGACACCAAATGTTATGAACGCCTTGAGCGGTTGGAGGTTCCCATTGACAGAGGAAACAGTTGGTCAGGGTTAACAGTGCTTTTATTGCAGTGCAGGGTGACAGTCACTCAGAATTTGTGGGAAAAACAGAAAAACAAAACAAAAACTTAGAGGCAACCAAATATAAGACTGCACAACATAAGGCCAAGCAAAAGAGCATAACCTGACCTGTGCAAAAACACTACATAAGTAGTATTTTCCCAGAGTTACAAACTCACGAGCAGTCCATGGTCTGTCTAGACCTCTCCTTCACCTCCTATCTCTGACTGCCCTAATAACTTTCTGGAGTCATTTTATAGCCCTGACTCCTCCTACTCTGGAACATACCACCTTAAAGGTAACACATTTCATACACTTACAGGAATGCATAATAATAATAATAATAATAATGAAGAAAACAAAAACAATAACAAAAGTAATAAATACAAATAAACATATATGTAATAAATCATATATATATATTCAAAGAAAACCCATAACTTAAAAACTATGAGAATAAACTCTCCGGTGACGTCACTCACATGAACGCGCCACTAGCTGGCGCGGACACAAGACCTATAAATAGACCGGATGTTCAACCGAACAGATTTGGCCAACGACTCATCACAACATGGTAAGCATCTTCTATATCTCTTCCACTTTAATCAATAAAATATGTTAATCAAATACTCGTGGTGGTGATTCATTCCCGCATGAGAAAAACACTTCTATTCACTCGTATACGATTACTAGTGGTCATTACTCAGATAAAACTACACACAGACCATCATACAAGTTTACAACACAATGATATCAAATGTCACACAGGTCAATGCATACATAAATATATGTCGGCTAACAGACTGTAATACATGACGCCGGTGTATGCGCGTAACGTGCATGTGTATGTGTGTGTGTCCATGCACAGTCGCAGGCTTACCCTGTGACAGGCGGGGTAAGGGGTAGGTCATTCGTACGAATTCATACAAATTGGCCAGTTGGTAAAATATATGTACGATTTAGCAAAATCGTATTAATTCGTACGAGTGAGGTCGTATGAATTGTTACGAATTAGCCAGTTTTTAATCATTCGTCGAATTTGTACGACTTGGTTGTGAGATCGGGTTGGAATTACATTTGTATGTATTCTAAATAAAAGACGGTTGTTCTGAATGTCAGTTTGCTTATTTTGCTCAAGATACGGATTTATTTAGTCCACGTGTCGTGCAATCTAAAAACTATGCTCGAGAGCTGTCGTTCTGAACCATAGACTGTAAAAAATGATGGACGACGCCCATTCGCTCTTTTCCATCAGAGAGAACTGAAGAAATCAACTAGATAGTCACGACTGTTTCCCGAAACCATATTGTCGCGAAGTGGTCGTTCAACCACGTTGGTTTATGATGTCACGCATGTGGTGGAGTAATAACTTATTTTAATGAAACTGTTTGAGATCGAAACAATTGAGATCGAATTAATGCTAGGTGTTTTGATATAAATTAAAGCCATGGCATCTGAGGAATAGAGTTGAATGAACGTTAATGCTAACTTTAATGCTAATGTTAGTTCATGCCAACAAATATAATGCTTGAGGTTTAAAGGTTAGTTCCCCCAAAAATTAAAATTCTGTCAACCCTAAACTGTCACAAACAAAAACTCTTCCTTAACTACCATAGATGCAGTTCTACCAAAAAGACTCAGGAGGCAAAATGACGCAACTAAGCATAAATGTATTAACGGCCAAGCAAGCAACACTGTTAGACCTTACCAGGTTTTTTACAGTAAAATACTGGCAACACTGTTGCCAGTAATTTACTGTAAAAATGCACTAAAACTAATAAGTTGTATTTTTTAGTTAACTTGAGTTTTAGTGCATTTTACAGTAAATTACTGGCAACAGTGTTGCCAGTATTTTACTGTAAAAAACCTGGTAAGGTCTAACAGTGAAGTATTGTGATATAAAGTTCTTTGGCGTAGGCTTCGTCCGTAATTCGCAATCTGAGGGTAATGGGTTCTGCATTTCCTGCCTGAAGACGAAGGCAGGGGCGCAGTCGACCCCCTGGGAGGTATGGGAAGGGACCATCCTGGTGGTGGTGGGGAGGATGAAGGGGAATGTTGGCGTCAGCATCTGCGAACTCAGACGAGTAAGTACCGATCTTTTACACTATGAGAATTAGAACATGATTGTTGATGAGAAAGTAATAAGTGACGTAACAACTGAGTCTTCTTGGCAGAACTTATGCTAAAGCTTCCATTTCTTCCAACCTCTCACTGTCATTTCCTTTGGAAGTGTATCTATTTACATTAGAAGATAACCTTTGCTTGTGCCTTCTTTTGTCCTCTGCGATTGTAACCGTAACCCTTTGACATCTAGTCAGCGCCTCATCTGTGAATGAACGATGTCCAAACAAACAGTGACCACTGATCTCTCCTACAGATTGGGCTCATTTCTAATTCTCATTTATAAATCTCTTATGGCTCGCATGCGGTCATAAAAACATAACTGCTCAGAGTCCCAGACACGTGAAGAACACATGGAGTCCAGCTTCAAAAAACAACTAGACATTGATACACAACTTCAGCTTTGGAAACAGTCTGCTTGCCAAATGTAATCTATGGCTCTGCTCCAAAACTGCTTTAGACAGATTCTCATTCACTAATGTTCATAAAAATGCATAGCATAGACAAATATTGGTAACATTATAACATAAAGAACTCTATTTTTAGCATTTAAAGGAGTAGTTCACTTAAAAAAAAAAAAAACATTTGCTGATAATTTACTCACCCCCATGTCATCCAAGATATCCATGTCATTCTTTCTTCAGTTGATTAAGAAAGAAATTAAGGTTTTTGATGATGGACTTCAATAATGGACTTCAATGGGAACCAAACAAACTGCAAACTGTTCAAAGGGCTTTAAACGATTTCAGATGATGAATAAGGGTCTTATCAAGCGAAAAGATCGCTCATTTAAAAAAAAAAAAAAACTAAAAAAAAAAAACACTTTCTTGCCTTGTTCTGTTCTGTGATGCATGTTTGTGACACTCCTATTCAAACTCGTTTATCAAATGAACAAATCTTTTCCCAAGTCAACTCGTTCATTTCGTTAGTTCGTTGAATGAACCACGACACGAAAACATTTGTTCATTTCGATGTTGATGTTGTCTTTTGGTCTGATGTTGATGTTGTCATGTTGTGTTTTGGTCTGATGCGCCACCCTCCACCGATCTACTAATCACGAATTCAGTAGTGTTGCAGCATCCGGGTTGCCAGCTCTGCTCTAGTTTCCACAGGTGCAGCTACAAACGGGTCGGATAAAAAAATCCCTAACATTACGAATCCAAAAAATAAAACAACAAACGTATGATTCCGAAATACTTTGTGACAAAGTCCGAAATAAAACAAGGATTTGTATAGGAGATACCTTTGAAAGATGGAGATGGCTGGAAACGGAGAAGAATTTGCTGGATCCTGCAGGCTATCTGGCAACCTCGAGTCAGGGGGGAGGGGATACACCGCTCTACAGTCATTTGAAAGTGATTGCAGTACCAGTTTTGGCCACAATCTTACATACGGTTCCTTAATGGTCCAGATCCCTTGTGGTTCCTGCAGAGTGATAACACTTGAGTAATAATTAGTGAGGCATTTTATGATTATAGTCAGTTTGGGGCAGTCCTGGCCAAATGGTTAGAGAGTCAGACTTGTAACCTGAAGGTCGATTCTCAATACCAGCAGGAAATGACTGAGGTGCCCTTGAGCAAGGCATCTAACCCCCAATGGCTCTCCGGGGTCACAGTGAATGCCTGCCCACCGCTCCGGGTGTGTGTATCCACGGTTCGCAGTGTGTGTGTGTGTGTGTGCACTAATTTG